TTATGACATCAATAGGAAGAGGGGACAGAGCTGTAGAGTAGGAGTTTTTGTATGGTATTGAAGTTGGTATCAATTCTATTAGAATGTTGTAACTTTGGGCTATTAAATGTTATTCTCATGGCAACCACAAAGAAAGTATCTATAGAAAATACACAGAAGGGTATGACAGGTGAATCAAAACATAACAAAAATCAAATAAACACAGAAAAAGGCAATAATGAAGAAAATGAAGGCACAAAAGCTATAAGGCCTATAGAAAACAAATAGCAAAATGGCAGAAAGAAATCCTTCCTTATCAGTAATTACTTCAAATGTAAATTGCTAAAATTCTTCAATCAAAAGACAGGTGGGCAGAATAGATTAAAAAACAACCATGACCCAACTATATGCAGTCTAGAAGAGACTCCCTTTATTTATTTTTTAAATATTCTTTTAAAAAATACGTTTTTATTGACTTCAGAGAGAGGAAGGGAGAGATAGGAACATCAATGATGAGAGAGAAACATCACTGATTGGCTGCCTCTTGCATGTCCCCTACTGAGGATCAAGCCCAAAATCAGGGCATGTGCCCTGACTGGTAATCAACCATGACCTCCTGGTTCAGGGGTCGATGCTCAATCACTAAGCTACACCAACTGGGCTAGAAGAAACTCACTTTAGATCCGAAGACATTAATTAGTTGAAAGTGAAAGGATAAAATAGAAGATATTTCATGTAAATAGCAACCAAAAGAGAGCTGGGTTGGTTATACTGAGATATGCAAAACAGAGATGTAATTTTTTTTAAAAGGTTACAACAACAAAAGTAAATAAATAAATAAATAGGTTACAAGAGACAAAGAAGGTCATTACATATTAACAAACGGTTCAATAAAGCATTATGATATAAAATTATAAACTTTTACACAAATAACAGACAATATATATAAAGAAAAAAATTAACAGAATTAAAGGGACAAATAAAGAGTTCAACAGTAGTTGAAACTTCAATACCACACTTTCAATAATAAATAGCCCTGACCGGTTTGGCTCAGTGGATAGAGCATCGGCCTGCGGACTCAAGGGTCCCGGGTTCGGTTCCGGTCAAGGGCATGTACCTTGGTTTCGGGCACATCCCCAGTAGGGGGTGTGCAGGAGGCGGCTGATCGATGTTTCTCCCTCGTCGATGTTTCTAACTCTCTATCCCTCTCCCTTCCTCTCTGTAAAAAAATCAATAAAATATATTTCAAAGTAATAATAATAATAAATAGAACAAGCTATAGAAGATAAGTAAGGAAGTAGAGGACTTGAACATCACAATAAACAAAGTACACCTAACAGATACATAAAAAACAATCTATCCAACAACAGAATACACATTCTTTCCCAATGTACATAGTACATTCTCCCCACCACCTACAGTATAATAAAAGATTATTCAGCCCAGGAGGTGTGTGTCACTGGTTGAGTGTTGATCCATGAACCAAGTGGGTCACGGTTCAATTCCTGGTCAGGGCACATGTCTGGGTTTCAGGTTCAATCCCCAGTTGGGGGTGTGCAGGAGTCAGCCAATTGATGATTCTTTCTCATCATTGATGTTTCTATCTCTCTCTCCTTTCTTCCTCTCTCTGAAATCATTTAAAAATATATATATTAAAAGTGTTATTCACATGACCGAGTGGGATTTATCAGAGAAATGCAAGGGAGGTTCAACATAATTCAATGTAATATATCACATTTTAAAAAATTAAAGGGTGTGGGTATGAGAACACATGATCATCTCAATTGACACAGAAAAGGCACTTGAAGATAACAATCCCTGTTCATGTTAAGATCTCTCAGCAAACTAGTTATAGAAGGAAAATTCCTCAATATGATAAAGGTGTTTTTGAAAAATCCACAGCTAACAGTATTCAAATAGTTTAGCCTCCCCTCTAGGATCAGGAACAAGTAAAGGAAACCTACATTCCTGCTGCTATTCAACATTGTACTGTAAATTCTCGTCAGAGCTACTTTTAAAAAGAAAGAAAATAGAAGGCATCCAAATTGAAAACAAAAAGGTGAAACTATCTTTATTCACAGGCAACATAATCATAAATATAGAAAATGAAGAAGTTACTAGAGCTAATAAATTCAGCAAAGTTGCAAGGTGTAAGATCAACACACAAAAAGCAATTGTTTCTACACACCAGCAATCACCAATATGAAAAGAAAATTAAGGAAGAAATTCTACTTACAATAGTATCCTATATAATAAAGATGTAATATGCAAATGGTCATTATGCTGACCAGATCAGCAGGAGGGTGGGGCAGCGAGCTACAAGCAGGCAGGGCAGTAAACAAGTGGGAGGTGAGGTGGAGAGCTACAGGAGCGGGCAGGGCAGCAAGGAAGCAAGTGGGAGGCAGAGAGCTACAGGAAGGGGCAGGGCAGCAAGCTATGAAGGGGTCGGGGAGCTACAGGAGGGTGGGGCAGCAGCAAGCTACTGGCACATGGATTCGTGTGCAGGGTTACTAGTCTATAATAATAAAAGGGTAATATGCTAATTAGACCAGACATCTTCCAGACGTCATTCTGGACGTCCTTCCTGACAAAACTGGGACAGAGGGAAGCCAGCCCGGTCCCAGGTGCCAGAGGGAAGCTGGCGCAGGCAGCCAGGGGAAGGACGGCCTACTCTTGCATGAATTTTCCTGCATCAGGCCTCTAGTCAAAAATAATTATATACCCTGAAAACTAGAAAACATTGCTGAAATTAATGAAGACCTAAGTACATGGAAAGTAATTCTGCATTCATGAACAGGAAGGCTTAAAATTAAGTTGTCTATACTACCAAAAGTGACCTACAGATTCAAAACAATCTCTATCAAAACTACAACAGCCTATTTTTCAGAAATGTAAAAGCTGACCCTCAAATGCACATGGAATTTCAGGGGGCCTGGAACAGCCAAAACAATCTCGAAAAAGAATAAAGTTGGAAGACTCATACTTCAAAACTTACTACAGCCTGGACAGTGTGGCTCAGTGGTTAAAGTGTCAGCCAGCACACGGAAGGGTCACGGGTTCAATTGCTGGTGGATGTTACTTACCTGGGCTGCAGTTTGGATCCCAGGTCCCAGTGGGGAGAGTGCAGGTGGCAACCAATCTCTCTCTACTTATACCCCTCTCTCTCTCCCTCCCTTCCACTCTAAAAGTCAATGGAGGAGAAAACATCCTTGGGGGAAGATTAACAACAAAAAACATACTACAAAACTGCAACAATTAAAGCATTATGTTACTGCCCTAGCTGGTTTGGCTCAGTGGATAGAGTGTCCGCCTGCAGACTTAAAGGGTCCCAGGTTCCATTCTGGTCAAGGGCACATGCCTGGGTTGCCAGCTCGATCCCCAGTAGGGGGCGTGCAGGAGGCAGCCGATCAATGATTCTCTCTCTCCCTCTCCCTTCCTCTCTGAAATCAATAAAAATATATTAAAAAACAAAACAGCCCTGACTGGTTTGGCTCAGTGGATAGAGCGTCGACCTCAAGGGCATGTACCTTGGTTGCGGGCACATTCCCAGGAGGGTGTGCAGGAGGCAGCTGATGGATGTTTCTCTCTCATCGATGTTTCTAACTCTATTCCTCTCCCTTCCTCTCTGTAAAAAATCAATAAAATATATTTAAATATATATATATTACTAGCATTAGAACAGACATATAGTTCAATGTAATAGAAGAGAGAGCCCAAAAATAAACCCTCACATATATAGTCAGTTGATTTTTCAACAAAGGTGCCAAGAACATTCAATGGGGAAATAAATGTCTTTCCAACCAATAGTACTGAGAAAACGCTATCCACAAGCAAAAAAATCAAGTCGGTTAGGTATAGCAGTGGTGACGATTACTCAACATTGTGACTGTACTTCATGCCCCAGAACTTCACACTTACAAATTACTAAAATGTTAACTAACTATGAGTTCTACCACAATACGTCCCGGAGACCCCAGGGAGCAATTGGATTGGCAAGGAGAAGGAAAAGGAGCCTAGGATGACAAAGCTTCCTGGTCGGCAGGGCTGCGTCGTGGATGATGCCCTTCATCTATACAAGGACCACAGGAGATAAGAAGCAGATGAACGTGAGATAAGGTCAAAAGGTACATTGGGGGGGGGGTGCATTGACATTAGGACATTCAATTGAAGATGTCTTGTAGGCGGTTGGCCCTGGAGCTCAGGAGAGCCGTCTGGGCTGGCGAGAGAAATTTGGGAACGGTCAGCAAGCAGTACGTACAGGAAGCCACGGGAATGCGAGACCTCCGGGAACACCAACATCCCAACGCGAGGAGAGCGAACTTGCTTTCAGGGCCCCCCACAAGGCGAGTCCACATCCCCCGGCGAGACTTACCGAAGCTTCAGGGCGGAGGCGCCCTCCAGGCCCATGCAGGCCAGGACCATGTAGGCAGGTCGAGGTCCAGCTCAGAGGAGCCGCTGAGAAGCCAGAACCCCAAACGCTAAGGAACCCCCGCACCCCCAAGTCTCAGGAGTAACGGCTCGCACCTGGAACCCAAAGCACTCGAGCCGCACTCCGCCCTCCGCGTGGAAAGTCCCTCTCGCGGCCCCGTCGCCTTTCGAGCCTTCCGATTGGCGGAGAGGACCCTGGGACCTGGAAGTCGTCCCTGTCCGCGAGGGCTGCCCTTCCGGTTCCGTTGGGTCCCCCTTTGGCTCGGGTTCCCTGCCCCTCCCCCATTCCGGAGCCCCGAGGGGCCGGAGCTCCTGGTGGTGCCGGATACGGACCGTGGCCTTCCCCTGGGTCTGTAAGTGCGGAGGCGGCCACAGAACCGGGCAGGGGTACGGGGTCTCTCAGGATGGAGCCCCTTGGGGCCCTCGATGGGCCAGGACGTGATGGGGGCCGAGGGGCTGGCCTAGGCCCGGGGGGACTTAAGGAGCCCTTGGCCCAGCCCACGCTGCGCCCCGCCCCTTTCCCTTCCCTCCTCCGGAGTTTTTAAGGATGCTCCCGGGACCTCCTCCTGCGACCCCGGCCGAGGTCCCAGCAGTCGGCTCGGACGCCTGACTCTGGTTTCTTGTAGGAAGAGCCAGAGCGGAGGCTTTGGCAAGGCCTTGGTGCCAGCCCGCGGGAAGCACTATGAGGTTATCCTTCTGCCGGGGTTTCCTGCGCATCAGCTTCTGGCTGCAGCACCTTTTCTATGACTGGCGCTGTGCCAGGCACTGGGGATTCCTAAGATACCGTTCCCGTTTTTATAGTCAAGTTTGGGAGCCAGATATAAACAAATAAGTGCTCCTACAATCGAGTATGTATGAGTCATACATGTGTGAACTGCTCAAGGGGCAGCTGCTGGGAAGGCTGAAGAGAGAAAGTGACTTCTGAATTATACTTCTTGAACCTCAGGTGAAGCGCTTTTCAGGCAGAAGAAACAGTTGCAATGCTTTGAAAGGATGACTGAGCTTAACTTGTGTGGGGAGAGGAGGAAATTGGGGGGTGGAGTGAAGGGGCGTCCTTGTGTGTAGATAAGATGTGAGATTGGGAAAGTAGACCAAGGTCCAGATAGTGAAAGGTTCACTCCTAAAGGAGGTGGATAGTCTTCAGAATTTTAAGGAGGAGAATGATACAAAGTTGCACTGTAGAAAGCCATATTATTCTGGAGATCAGTCTATAGAATAGAAATTTCTATAGACTGATTCAGAACTCTGTAGCTAAAATCTAGGTATACTTATTGGAGGGGTATGTGTGTGTGTGTGTGTGTGTGTGTGTGTGTGTGTGTTAAGGAGTAATGACATCAGCTTAATAAGCAGTATTGAAGTCCTGAAATCGAGTTATGAAGGTATTACTGGAAAGCAAGCAAGTGTGCTATAGTGAATGGTGTGAAGACTCCCTAATAAATTGGCTTTTGAGAGTGGAAGAGGTACCCAAGCTGATTCCCAGGTTTTAGGCTTTTGGTATTTGTAGAACATTGATGCCATTGTCAGCAATAAAGCCATAAGCTTAGTGTAGATTACAAATTTATTTTTTTGATATGTTGCATTAAAGGTCTAATGGAACTTTCCAGTGTATAGTTGAAGTGCAAATCTGCAGCTTAGCCTAAATATTGTGGCTAGAGATAAAGGTTTGAGTCATCTGCATAAAGGTGGAAGCTATGGGAATAGTTGCCAACAGGAAGATATTATTGATATTGAAGGGAATAATTTGGGGAATGGTTGCATTATGAAATAGTAATTGGTGTAGCAGCAGAAGCAGACTTAGGGGATAAAGCATAAGAATATAAAGTTCTTACAACCAAAAAGACCCAGAAATCAAGAGAAGAGAATATTGAGAAGGAAGCCACTGGAACAATTCATGCAGAGCATTTGGGGAATGAGGGGGAAAAAAGATTGAATTTTTTGTATTAAGAAATCATTAGTGATCCTTCAAAAAGCAATTTTAGCAGAGTGATGAGGTGATGATATATGAAATAATGGAGTTCTCAATTGGTTGTTAAATGAGAATGAGAAAAGGCCACATATGAAGGCTTTCCCAGAGAAAATTTACAGGCTTTATTTGTTTATTTACCTAAGGAATGCTTATAGAGCTCATTCCGGGTATTGTTCTAAGCTTTTTTTTTTTTAAATGAACTTAATCTTTAAATTTAACTTACTTTAAAATGAATTTAATTTCCCATAACAACTCTATGAAGTAATATTACTATTTGACATTGGGTATATGGAAGCACAGAAGTGGTTAAATAGCTTGCCCAAGGTCACACAGCTAGTAAGTGGTTGAGCAGGGTTTTGATCCTAGGAAATATGGCTCCAGAATCCATGGTTTTATACTACTAAAGTAAGCAGTGACTAAATATAGGAGTCAAAGGAGTGGGGAAATTTTAAGCAAAGGTAAGCTCATTGGTAAAAAATGGAGAGGCTTGGAAAGTGATCCAGATTGAGAAGAAGGTAAGTAACAGTTTTATATTTGTTATGTATTTCTTTATTTATTTCCTCCTGTCTTAGATCTTCTTTCAATCTGTGCCATTTTGGGTCCATTTCTTTCACAATTAGGTCAATTTATATCACGCTTTCATCTATCACTTACTATCTATAATCTAGTCTCCTCTTCAACTTCAGACTCATATCCAACTAGCTAATGGATCTTCCCCTTGATGCCATGCCGGATCCTCTGACTAAACATTTTAAGACCAGACCCATGATCATCCCCTCCAGTATTTCCTAGCTTATTGAATGGCACTCAAAGACATCCAGTCACTCTAGCCAAATATCTTGGTGTCATCTTGACCTTTCCTTTCTTGTTCATCCCCTTGGTCACCAAGTTCATCAGTTGATTGTTTGGAAAAACTCTCAATTCTGTTTCTTCTCTCCATCCATATTATTATTGTCTCTGTTGAGACCTCATCATTTCTATCTTGATCTGCTTGAGTAATAGCATACTAACAGGTTTCTTTGCCTCCACATCTACTTTCCTTAGAGCCATTCTCCATAAATTCTTATTTTTGACTAATTGAATTTTAGATAATGCAATAGTTTAGACATCATGTATTTCAAGCGATACAGTAATAGCCTAAGGCAGTGGTCGGCAAACTCATTAGTCAACAGAGCCAAATATCAACAGTATAACGATTGAAATTTCTTTTGAGAGCCAAATTTTTTAAACTTATAGGTAGGTACATTGTTATTAACTTAATTAGGGTACTCCTAAGGCTTAGGAAGAGCCACACTCAAGGGGCCAGAGAGCCGCATGTGGCTCGTGAGCCGCAGTTTGCCAACCACGGGCCTAAGGCAAGTATTTTGAGTACTTTCAACTGGCGTTAAGGTTGGTTAAGGTTGGACTTGAGGGTGAGGATTTAGGAATTTTTAAAATAGAGAATGTAATAAAACATTGAGAAACCAGACAGGCTTTCTGAGGAAGTAAGCCTTGAAAAAAATAAAACAGAGGAAAAAATCAAGGACTAAGTTGTGAAGGTTATATGTACTATTATACTTTTGGGCATACTTGCAAAAGACTGGTGGAAAACTGAGGCCAGTAGTTAAGTAACTTACCCACTTCTATACAACAGTTTTAAAAGAATGAACTAGGTCTATAATTATTCATCATATATAGGTCTCAAAAACAGTAAATGAGAAAAGAAAGTTATAAACAATATGTATAGTTTATGTCTAAGAAACATAATTTTATATTTTCTGTGGGTAGGCATACAGAAGTGTTTTTAAAATGAGGAAGGGGTCCTAGCCAGGTAGCTTAGTTGGTTAGAGCGTCATGGAATGCCAAGGTTGTGGGTTCCATCTCTGGTCAGGTCAGGGCACATAGAACAATCAACCAATGAACACATAAATAAGTGGAACAACAAATCTCTCCCTCCCTTCCTCTCTTTAAAATAAACCAAATAAAAAAGTTAAATGGGGAGAGGGAGAGTCATTAAGGACCAAACTTAGAACAAGCTGAGTACTGAGTGAAAGGTAGTTGGGAAAGGGGACTTTGGCTTTATCTATAATGTTCAAAATTTTTCCAGAAATGATATATTTCTGTATATGTTATGTAGAATAATAAAGGGGGGGCACAAAAGTGTGAAAACTTGGAGAATGTAGTGTTCTGACAGTTACCCAAAAGAAGAAAAGGATTGAGGTTTATAGAGAGAAAGGCTGTAGTATATTACAACATCTTTAAAAAATGGCATATGATGTTAGTGAGATAAAGAAAGATTTCCAAATAGTTGTGAGTGCTAAGTTGAAATATAAAGACACTTTTATGAGGTAGATGAGAAAACAGACTGACATACAGCTTGGGAGATTATTGTACAAATAGAAAAGTTTTCCTTATCAGTAATTATTAGAGTCATTTGACATAAGAAACTTGGGTATTTTCTCACTGCTCAGAGCATACCAGTGAACATTGTCTAACCTGGAATACGTATTCACTGATCCTTTTTGGTTACACGTTTGAACAAAGGGAAATTTTCAAATCAGTTGACACATTTGTTACATGGACATAATTATGGAAAAATTATGTAAATATAAACAAAGAGAAAGTGATCTTAAGTGAGAATTACATTGATATTTGAGAAATAGGTCATTCAAAACTTGCTAATGGAAACGGCGGATTCAGATTTAATTGAAGTAATCTAAGCAATAGATGATTAGGACCAGAACTATGGCAATAATAAGAGAGACACAGAGAAAGACACACACAGAGAGAGAGAGAGAGAGAGAAGAGAGAGAGAGAGAGAGAGCCCAGCTGGTGTTGCTCAGTGGTTGAACATCAACCTATGAACCACCAGGAGATCATGGTTCGATTCCCGGTCAGGTCTGATGCCCAGGTTGTGGGCTCCATCCCCAGTTGGGGGTGTCTAGGAGGCAGCTAATCAATGATTCTCTCTCATCATTTATGTATCTCTCTCTCCCTTCCTCTCTGAGATCAATAAAAATATATTTAAAAAAAGAGTAGAGAGAATTTTGAAATCATTCTGAGGAAAGAATCAACAGGATGTGGTGACCAATTCTACCTGCTCAGTTATTTCTTCCAGTTACTAGAAGCTCTGCCATAATCTAGAATTATATGAGTGGTTTTTATGAAAAGTATGAATAATTACTGTACTAAAATGTTAACTACAGTTGGGGACTCTGTAAACCCAATATATTTGTAATTTTTATTCTGTTTTATTTGCAAATTGAATTGTTTCAGTCTAAAGAGATAAATACACAAAAGATGGAAAAATAACAGTTAAAATAGGTGAGAAAGCAAGATAAAACAAGGGCAAGGGTATAAAATGCAATCAGGGATAAGACTAATACATAAATCATATTAATATTAAGGTCCTCTAGACTTGACACAGATTTGACTTTAAGTTGTACTTTTTGTTTTTAAACATAAGCCTTTTATTGAAGTAAATACACAAAAGCATATAAATCATAAGCATCCAGCTGAATGGATATGAGGAGGGAAATTTGAACAGTTCCACAGTTAACATTATCCCTATAAAACTTCAGCCAGCCTAGTTGTTGGACACATTTTGGCATCACGAAGCTTGGGCACAAGTTCCACTCTAATATTTAACACTTTCTACCTCTCTTAAGTTGAGGGCGTTATTTATGTTCTCCAAGCTTGAGTTTCCTCATATGTAAAGTGGGGGAAATAATAATACCTACCTTACAGGGATTTTGAGGATTAAATGGGTCGGATATTGGTAAAGCACTTAGCCTATACCTGGTACATAGCAAGGTTTCTGTAAAATTAGCAAGGTTTCAGTAAAGATTAACTACTATTCCTTTAATTCTTAATTCTTAAATAAAATTAAGCCAGTTTATAAGAAACAATTATTTCCTTTCATTTTGTCATTTTTAAAAAGTTTTTTAAAAAAAAGGCTTTTTTAGCCGTAACCGGTTTGGCTCAGTGGATAGAGCGTCGGCCTGCGGACTGAAAGGTCCCAGGTTCGATTCCGGTCAAGGGCATGTACCTTGGTTGCAGGCACATCCCCAGTGGGGGGTGTGCAGGAGGCAGCTGGTCGATGTTTCTCTCTCATCGATGTTTCTGACTCTCTATCCCTCTCCCTTCCTCTCTGTAAAAAATCAATAAAATATATTTTTTTTAAAAAAGGCTTTTTTAAAATTTAGTTTCATATTATCAAAAGTATTTTGGAAATAAACCCTCGTTAGAAATTTTCCCCAGGGCACTCAATAATAATTTCATAAGGAACACAGCAGAATAATAAAAGTTTATTATTCTGCTGTGTTTTGTTGAATGATCTGTGTAAAAAGTAGCAATTGATCTTTGCCCTCAAATAATTAGCAGTCTATTGGAAAGAGAAACTAGTGACAGGAAACAATTAAGGGATAAACTGTGGCCTGGAAATAAGAGTTTATCAAAGGGAAACAATAGAGTGGGCTGACACATATTATTGAAAACTGCTTAAACAGAATAAAATGTCTTTTTTATTCAATGCGAGCACTTTCCTGAATACCTCTTTGGCTGTTCCTCCTGGTAAGTTTATTGAGACTGATGGATAGGAGTAAGTAAAGGGAACTTCCAGCTCCTCATCTTTGGAGCTCCAAGGAACAATGAAGTATTGTGAGTCCTGTCACACTACAGATGGAAGCCGTTAATGCTCATTTTGGGGTGTGAGTGAGAAAATACTGACCAGAGGGTAGATTAAGGACAAGCTAAACTCTCAAAATGAATACCCCTTTTGTTTGGTTACTTGAAACAATAGCCATTTTTAAAATTCTGTTTTTCAATTGGGACATTCACTCTTTCCAGAATGAATATATTAAGCTACTGTATTTGCTAACACTGACCAGTGATAATACAGTTTTGCTGTTTCTTTACTGATATATTTTCTGTATCTCCTAGATTTACTCCTTTTTATCTGATATTCACCATATTTTCTCTGATGCAACATTTGCTTCTTTACATCTTATGTATATTTTTATTAATATACCTGTACCATACCAGTTCTCCCTCCTAAATATCACCTTTCTTTTAATGACAGTTTCATTTAGCTGAACTTGTACGCTTAGACCCTTTACACATTCCTTTTTTTCATTCTCTGTATCCAGTAAATTACCAAGTTCTATGAAATATCTTTTGTTGTTTTCCTTTGCTCCGTATTCCCATTTTCATTCCTTCCTAAGCTCCATGGCCTCAGACCTGTAATGCTTCTGCAGATGCTGAGCTGGTCTTCCTAACAGCAATTCTTCCTTCTTACCACTGCCAAACAAATCCTGTAGGTTTAACAAGCACAAACTGAGCACTGCTGTGTGTTTAGTACAGTATTAGGTGGCAGGAGAAGACACCAGTTTGAACAGAAGAGGGTTTGACCAGTATTGTGGCTGCAATAAGTATAATTTGAAGCGAAAGGAAAAAGTGGTTGGCTTTAGAAGATGGATGTTCCCAACATTAGCCTGTTGAATAGGATGGAGATGTTTCTGTCTAATGCCATGAAGCTTGCAGTTTGGAGGGGAAGGAACAAGTATTTAACAAATGATTTTTAGTGTTATGATAGAAGTACCAAGCAATGGGTTCAGTAGAGAAAACTGTTAGCCTAAAGCAGCGGTTCTCAACCTGTGGGTCGCGACCCCTTTGGGGGTCGAACGACCCTTTCACAGGGGTCGCCTAAGACCATCGGAAAACACATATATAATTACATATTGTTTTGTGATTAATCACTATGCTTTAATTATGTTCAGTTTGTAACAATGAAAATACATCCTGCATATCAGATATTTACATTACAATTCATAACAGTTGCAAAATTAGTTATGAAGTAGCAATGAAAATAATTTTATGGTTGGGGGTCACCACAACATGAGGAACTGTATTAAAGGGTCGCGGCATTAGGAAGGTTGAGAACCACTGGTCTAAAGGGTCAGGGAAGGGCCTCTCTGAGGAAATAAAGTCAGAATTGGCTAGGAGCAGTGTTCTAGACTAAAGAAATAACTGCGCTAAGGCTTGGAGTCAGTAGAATGCCATCATGCACCAGGCACTGAGCAATATAAGACTTAAACCCTAACCGGTTTGGCTCAGTGGATAGAGCATCAGCCTGCGGACTGAAGGGTCCCAGGTTCGATTCCGGTCAAGGGCATGTACCTTGGTTGCTGGCACATCCCCAGTAGGGGGTGTGCAGGAGGCAGCTGATCGATGTTTCTCTCTCATTGATGTTTCTAACTATCCCTCTCCCTTCCTCTCTGTAAAAAATAAAAAATAAATCAATAAAATATATTTTTTTAAAAAGACTTAGACTCTGCCTTCAGGAGCTGGTGTTCTATGAACCTTTGCAGGTCAGTGTTATAGAAGGTAAAATTATAAAGATTGGGCTTTAGGATCCAGATGTGGCCAAGAGCAGCTGGTTGTTTTATAATACTCAACTACAGAGTTGATGAATGCTCAAAATTCAAGGTGAATTTCTTGATGGACTGAAATTATAGAGCTATTTCTCAAGGTATAGCTGATATTCTACTGATCTCACTGGAGACTGGTATATAGACAGAGAATGCCAGTTTATTATTTTTACAATGGCTGGTGGCATAGCTAATTCATCCTTCCTTTTAGAGATACACACAGGAAGCCAAGTTACCAGAAAATTATTTGGAGAGTATGGAATCAGAATATGGGGACTTCTTCCATATTTATTTTTTCTATAAAAGGACAAATATGCAGAGAATTTTGGCAAAGACACCTTCTCCATAGTTGAATGTGTTATGCCAATGTTTATCTTAATTATTATTAGTTTACTTAATAAGTTTATACTCAAGAGGTTAGTCTTTATCCACAAGACAATGGGCAATCACAGGACTTTAGGTAGGGGTTGAATATAATCAGATTTGTATTTTCTAAAGATGTCATGTGGTGATGTAGGAGTTGGATTAAAAGGAATAGAACCAGGAAGCCAAGGAACATGTGTGAGTCTGTTCCAGTTGTCCAGTTGATGAATAATGATGTATAAAGTTGGGCAAAGAAGAAAGACCAGAATCTAGTAAAAATTAATTATATATATACTCTTACTCCGATTCCCACCAAGTGGTTTATGTTTTTTCTATATCAAATATTTTATTTCCTTTCTATATCAACAAATGTTTCTCAAGAGAGAATTAGATTTGTCCAATGCACAGGATATACATTATCCCTTTAGGTCTGTAACTTTCATTTTATTGTAGAAATACTTGTATGAATAAATACACATCCTTTTAAATAGGAGACGGTTTACCCAGGAATGGGGCAAGCAATGTCATTGCAGTTCTTTAAAATACAAAGCAAAAGAGCAGTGTTTTGTCTTTGAAGAAGGAGGTTCACAGTGTCATGCAAAAGAAAATAGTTATGTTATTATTACTTGTTGGGATGTTTTAGTTTCTTTTTGAAACCTGAAAGAATTCTCATTTGTGAAGAAAAAAAATGCTCATGGAGTAACTCAAGTACTGTTCCTGTATCTTTAAAAGTTGAATGAATGCCAAGCTATTTATACTGATACAAGTCCACTCCTTAGGTGCAGTTGACACTTGATGTTGACAAGGAGTAATTTTCAACAGCCTTTGAAAGCTGTTATACTGTTTCCTCTTTCAAGGCAAATTTCATTTGGATACATACAAACAGATATGATAACACAAATTTGGTTTTGGAAAGAAAATTCAGGTTTCTTCATTGTTTGAATTTTCTTAAATTCATCCTTTTTACATTTCTGTTCCTTAGGTCTGCCAAAATGTCTGAAAGATCAGATCTCCTTCACTTCAAGTTTGAAAATTATGGAGATTCAATGTTACAAAAAATGAACAAATTAAGAGAAGAGAATAAATTTTGTGATGTTACAGTTCTCATAGATGATATTGAGGTACAGGGGCATAAAATTGTGTTTGCTGCAGGTTCCCCCTTCTTAAGAGACCAGTTTTTACTGAATGATTCCAGAGAGGTGAAAATCTCCATATTGCAGAGTTCCGAAGTGGGGAGACAATTGCTCTTATCCTGTTATAGTGGTGTGCTGGAATTCCCTGAGATGGAACTGGTAAATTACTTGACTGCTGCGAGCTTTCTTCAGATGAGCCACATTGTAGAACGGTGCACACAGGCCTTGTGGAAGTTTATAAAGCCAAAACAACCACTGGATAGTAAAGAGGGATGTGAACCGCAGAGTGCTTCTCCCCAGTCAAAAGAACAGCAGGGAGATGCCAGAGGCTCCCCAAAGCAGGACTCACCTTGTATTCATCCATCTGAAGACAGTATGGATATGGAGGACAGTGATATTCAGATTGTTAAGGTAGAATCTATTGGGGATGTATCGGAGGTTAGAAGTAAAAAAGATCAGAACCAGTTTATTTCTTCTGAACCCACTGCTTTACATTCATCAGAGCCCCAGCACTCCCTGATAAATTCAACTGTGGAAAACAGAGTAAGTGAAATAGAACAAAACCATCTCCACAATTATGCCCTCTCTTACACAGGCAGTGATAACATCGTCTTGGCCTCAAAAGATGTCTTTGGGCCTAATATTCGAGGTGTAGACAAAGGCCTACAGTGGCATCATCAATGCCCAAAGTGTACCAGGGTGTTCCGTCACCTGGAGAACTACGCCAACCATTTAAAAATGCACAAACTCTTTATGTGTCTACTCTGCGGCAAGACTTTTACTCAGAAAGGCAACCTTCATCGACACATGCGTGTGCATGCCGGCATTAAACCTTTCCAGTGTAAGATCTGTGGGAAAACCTTTTCTCAGAAGTGTTCCTTACAGGATCATCTTAACCTTCACAGTGGAGATAAGCCCCATAAGTGTAACTATTGTGACATGGTTTTTGCACATAAGCCAGTTTTGAGGAAACACCTTAAACAGCTGCATGGCAAAAACAGCTTTGATAATGCCAATGAGAGAAATGTGCAAGACCTCACAGTGGATTTTGATTCTTTTGCATGTACCACAGTTACAGACTCTAAAGGGTGTCAGCCACAGCCTGATGCAACACAGGTCCTGGATGCAGGTAAACTGGCCCAAGCTGTCCTGAACCTAAGAAATGATAGTGCTTGTGTGAACTGAGTAGGGGCTTTATGCTCAAAACTAGAAGTGACTGAAAACATGGCAATAGTCTTGAGTGTTTTTAGAAGAGATTTTGCTAGCTTGACTTCTCCAAAGCCTCTGTGCAGGTTGTAGAATGAATCAAAGTACTAACAGACCAGGCAACTTACCACTTGGAGTGGTCTTGCCTTCCTTTTGCCCTCTCCCATTTTCTGTTTTGAATTATCTTGTGATGCCTGTCTTCCTTTCCCAAGGAGTATTCCATTTGTCTACCTAACATTGACTTATGACACATTTTAGGCTTTTCACTGGACACATTCAGAAGGCACCAACAAGTTAATAACATCACCTGCAATCCACTAATGGATGCTATGCTAAGAGAAGTGAATAATATTTTTCTTTGGCAGAAAATAGGCTAAGATATAAAGTGATATTGCTATTGGCCTGAATATGTGATAGAACTTCTGGTTGCCTACTTATAATTCATCTATGAATGAATGACTCCCTACCATTTGTACTTTTCTTGGAACTGGCTATAAAGAAGTATTTTAAGTTGTTCAGCACTCTTTTCAACAGCATTATGGCCCCCAACTTTATGTCACTGAATTGTTCACATAGACCAGAGTACAATCTTTCTGCAACACCTGCAGGCATAGTTAGGTATCACCATGAGGAGCATAATCAACAAAGAATAGAAGTACATTTGTACAACAATTTAACGTGAGACATCTTCCTCAAAAGAAGCCAAACGCTTATTCATGTATAACTTATTTGTTGATGCTTTTTAAGTCAGGATGCTCCAAGCATACTTAAAATGTGCTAAAGTATAATAGTCTCTCTAAAAAGAAGCTATTTAGGAGTCAGTCTTTGGACTCTGCTTTAGAGGTTAGCTATCAGAGAGGTATTTAGCCATCAGAAGGGTGTTTGGGCTTCAGAGTTTTGTTCAGTGTATTCTAAGAGTCTCTGAATTCTCATTTTCTCATGTACCTTAATTTCTAAAATGGATGAAAAAAATAGGTCGTGGAATGAGCAACCAGGCTTTTGCATTCAGATATTCCTATAGCCCCACCTTGCTATGTTTGATAGATCACTAATACAAAGTTGATCTTCCAAGTATGGTAAAACAGAACAACTGTGTGTTGTAGTTCAGAAATAAAATTTTGAGTCTTATTAGTTTCTGACCCATGAGTTAGACATAGGTAATAGAAGTGTTAGAGTCCTTAGAGAGTCTTAAGAGATAATTTACTCCACCTCTCTCTCTTTTTTTTTTAAAGTTGGGGTATTAATAGCCCAAAGAGGTGGCCTGGCCAAGGTTGGCCAAATAAGATAAGTGACTAAATATGAGCTAATGTCTCCTCATTTTTTCTCACTACCCCTTGGCTTAAAAAGATCTAGTACATAATCAAGAATACATTAGCAAAAAGCTCACCTTTGTGAATCCCTATTGGCTTTCTAAGACAGCCTGGATTTTGCAAACAAAATATCACAGAAGGATATATTTTTGTTATTTTTTAGTTAGAATAAATATTACATTCTTCCCAAGCAAGTGACTGATTTTCTGGGTATTAGGGAGAGAAAGGACAAATAAGAATAAATGTGAGAAGGATCTAAATGTGAAACTGATTTTGTCTGGAAACAGTGTTTATTTAATTTCCATCAGGATTTTGTTTTCATGTTTGAGCTATGAGAGTGCATATACCGATAAACCAAAAATTAGGTTTAACTTGAGTAGTCAGGGAATTCTTAAAGTTGTTATAATTTGATACATTTACATGTGAATCTGACTTGAGGTATTATTTCTACCTTTTGTTAAAAGATTTAAAATGAGAATAAAATTGAGTGATAAGACTAATAGGTATCTTATGCCTAAGGTCACTCATTATATGGTCTAATGATGCTGCCAAGCATTCCAGTTTTTATATGACCCAGGCAGAGTACCAGTTCTCTGCAACAGTGTGACATTACCATGTTAACCAACAAGTCACTATTTCCTTTGATCATCATTTTGGCATGGAAATTTCATGTTGGAGTGCTTCCTTTGTTTATATTCATGTCCTGTTTTTGTTACTGGTTTGAAGACTAAAAGTCATGGGTTCAAAATAGATTGCTCTCTTTGGTTGGAGACTATTGCTGGGTTCATCTAGTCATTCAAGAAGCATTTATTGAGCACCTACTGTTGCCAGGCACTATGCTAGATGATGAGGATATGAAGGTAAGATTGCAATGATCCCTGCTCTCACAGATCTTACAGTTTCGTGTAGTCTTAGGGAGCTAAGATATCAATTTGATTTTAAACTAAGAGTAATAAAGGAAACTGCCTTGCTTTTTTTGATCACTTAAAGTCAGCATCTAGATGGTTTTGTATCTGTAAAGCTATAGTTCTCACCTTTTGTACTGCAAACCTCTTGGCTGGGGCGGTGTTCTGTTTCTGTGAGACATTTTCTTAATTTTGGTGGGATTTTACTTTTCTCCTCCTTTGTTTATACATGTTTCTTAGATTGTATTGCAAAGTGGGCAAATTATTGATATCAAGTAAGTTTTATAGAGGAAGATTTTTAAAAACCTTAGTTATTCAGCATTTGTATTTTATGGATCCCCAGGAAAACTAAAAAGGGGAGAACACTCTTTACCATAGTTGGTTTAAAAAAGATACTGTATCACAGTTATTTATTTATTATTTAATTTTAAAGACAAACTCCAAACCGAAGCAGCTCTGAGGTAAATCAGATGTGGTTTTAATTTGTTTTAGTTTCTTTTTTAGAATATCTGTAAGTGGAGGGTGACCAGTGTCACTACTTTTAAATATTGTCCTAAAAAATCAACCTAGAACATTTTATTTCAGCTGGTGAATAGCTGTTTTAAACCTGTTGTATGTTAGACATACTATGAACTACCTCTTCACTTATTATGGGGAAGTTTCCTTAATAAAAGTGTGACAATTAAAGCTCTGGTGTGAGTAGTTTATTTTTTCTCCCCTCCTTTCCTTTTCAATTGCTTGAATTTGAATACAAGAATACTTCCTTCATTCCTATTCTTTAAAACACATATTAATAAAATATGCTGAGCTTGGCTTCAGAACCAAATATGAGTTAACCAGAAATTGTTTCTAGGGTCAGTTACTTAAATGAGAGCCTGTTGACTAAGGGGTAAAGCAACTGCTTTTAAGAGCTGGTTCAGAAATTCCTTCATTTGGCAAATACTTGGATGCCTACTGAGTGCTAGTCTTGGGGAATGTAAAGATCGGTAAGGCACTGCCCCAAGTACCTCTGCTTAGATGGGACGCAGATTTCAATACTGGAATGATAATTGCAATAATGAAGGCAGCCAAATGGGTTGGCTTGACAGGCTCCCAACTAAGAGCCAGCTAATTCAAGGCAGTTCCTGGTGGCTTTAAGGATGATGGGATTTTGAAGGGTTAGTGGGAGGAGGGATTGGGCATATGGGAGGAAACAGTAGATGAGAGGCTTGGGTTTGCCCAAAAACGTGGGGCGGGGCGGGGGGTGAAGGTGAGAAGGAAGCGATAGAGTAAAGGAAGAGAGATCCAGAAGTTGGGGCCAGATCCTGATGGGGCATTAGCTAGGCAATCTCGGATACTGATCCCCATGGCAGTCTCCTCTCCTTCCTCCGTCACCTTTTAAATTGCAGGTGGCCCAGTAAAAGGAGAGGACCTGGCCATAATAATCCGCGAGGGCCTCCTGTGGTCCCGGCGCGGGGTATTCTGATGGACGCACTGCACCCCAACTTCACAAGCCTCCTGCGGTTCGGAGGTTGGGGAGAACTCAGAAGGGGAATTGGCTCCCGTACTGATCAGGGGCAGGAGAAATGGGATTTGCCGGCACTGGGCGTCTTTCTGTCATTCCACAGGGGTGGGGGAGTGAGGAAGGGAGGATGTCTCAGAATGTCCTTCCGGTATGCTCAGCCCGCCCCCTGCGGGGTCAAGGTGGTTGACACCGGATGTATTTCCTTCCAGACTAAGTCCACCTTCCGGTCCGGGTCCTTTGCTGCGGAAACGTCGGTTCTGGTTTTCCGAGTGGGTGAGTGAGCGCCAGGGAGACGCGACGGGTGGGGAAGCCCCACGAGGAGGAGGAGGAGGGCAGCTGGGTGCTGCCCGGCGGTGGCTGGGCTGGTCCTGCAACCACCTGGTCGACAGGGCCTTGGTCCTGTTGGGCTTGGCTCAGGAAGACCTGTGGCAAGCTGGCGGCTCTTCCCGGCCACTGGGAACCCAGGTTCAATTCCGCAGACGTTCCCCAAGCTCTTCCTGCTCTGTGCCGGTCCCGGCGTTCGCTGCAGGAACTCGGCTGAACGAGGCGCTGTTTCGTGATGCTCTGGGAGCAACCGACTCTTAAGGGGGAGACAGGAGGAGTCTAGGAAGCCTTACTTAATTTAGGCCTTAAAGGAGCTAAATGGCTAGCTGGAAAAAGTAACGGGAGCGTAACATATGCAAAGGTGCATTCGGGGGTCTTCTTGCCTGGGCAATGGTGAAAATCTGAATATCAAAGAAACTTCCATGAAAAAGAGTAGAGAAAAGATAAAGCTATAAAGGTACTGCCAAACCGGTTTGGCTCAGTGGATAGAGCGTCGGCCTGCGGACTCAAGGGTCCCAGGTTCGATTCCGGTCAAGGGCATGTACCTTGGTTGCGGGCACATCCCCACTGGGGGGCGTGCAGGAGGCAGCTGATCGATCTCTCTCATTGATGTTTCTGGCTCTCTATCCCTCTCCCTTCTTCTCTGTAAAAAATATATTTAAAAAAAAAAAAGCTATAAAGGTACTTAAGGCCAAATCATGAGTGAGCTTTTATTTGCTAAGAAGGTTAGGCTGTCCCGTAGGTAGAGGACAGCTGGAGAGAGGGGCGGGGGGGGGGAAGTTTTGAAAGATGTCAATTTGCCCTAGCTAGTTTTGCTCAGTGGATGGCGCGTTGCCTGCGGACTGAAGGGTCCCGGGTTCAAATCTGGTCGAGGGCACATGCCCGGGTTGCAGGCTTTATCCCCAGTAGGGGGCATGCAGGAGGCATCCAATCGATGATTCTCCTCACTGATGTTTCTATCTTTCTTTCCCTCTCCCTTCCTCTCTGAAATCAATAAAAATATATTTTTTAAAACATAAATAAAAGATGTCAATTTTGGTGGCACTCAGTAGGGTAGTTTGGAATTTAAGAGACTGGTATCAAGGAGAACTTTTGGAAGACATGGCAGTGGTCCAGGTGAACAGAATAAAGACCTGCAGTAGTGATGGGGAGTCTAAAGTTTGGAGATTACATTAAGGTTTTTAATTTGGGAAACTTACAGCCATTTAGTAGTAGCATTAACTATACAAGGCACATAAATTTAGCCAAGGAGAAAAATATAGAATCTGTTAACTGCAATATAATATAAATGCTGTAACAAAAATATGAAAAATGTGCCACGAGATCAGAGAGAAATGCATCTTAATTTTTCTGGATTTTAAGGTTAAATTTTCTGGAATTTATTCTTAGCACCCAGATTAAAATTTGAGTGAGTATTCTTTTACCCAATTCAGGTTTGGGACTTTAAAATTTTGTTTGTTTTTACTAGCACAGTGTAGGAAAGCATTCCTTATCCTTACAGCAATGTTTGTATTATATTTTGCTTAGATTTTGACCATGGCTGCGGAGTCTGATGTTCTGCACTTCCAGTTTGAACAGCAAGGAGATGCAGTCTTGCAGAAAATGAATCTCTTGAGACAGCAGAATTTATTTTGTGATGTATCAATTTATATTAATGACACCGAGTTCCAGGGGCACAAGGTGATATTAGCTGCTTGCTCCACTTTCATGAGAGATCAGTTTTTACTCACACAGTCAAAACATGTCAGAATTACCATCTTGCAGAGTGCAGAAGTTGGCAGAAAATTGTTGCTCTCTTGCTATACTGGAGCACTTGAAGTGAAAAGGAAAGAGCTTTTGAAATACTTGACTGCTGCTAGTTACCTTCAGATGGTTCACATTGTGGAAAAGTGTACAGAAGCTTTGTCAGGATACCTGGAAATTGACCTTTCTATGAAAAACAACAATCAACATACCGACCTGTGTCAATCCTCTAACCCAGATGTTAAAAATGAGGAAGAACATACAGATAAAGACTGTGAGATCATCGAAATTTCAGAAGATAGTCCTGTAAACATAGATTGCCACGTTAAAGAAGAGGAAAGCAATGTGTTGCAGTCTACAGTAGAGAGCTTGACATCAGAGAGACAGGAAATGAAGTCACCAGAGCTGTCTTCAGTTGATATAGGTTTTAAAGACAATGAAATTTGTATCCTCCGTGTGGAATCTATAAATACCGATGGTGTAGAAAATGGGCAGTTTTCACAGCCTTGTACCTCGTCAAAAGCAAGCATGTATTTCTCTGAAACACAGCATTCACTGATCAATTCTACGGTTGAGAGCAGAGTGGCAGAAGTTCCTGGGAATCAAGATCAGGGCTCATTTTGTGGGAATACTGAAGGAAGTCATGGAACAGCAAATGAGATTCAGAACCTGGAAGATATTTATTCACTGAGGCACCAGTGCCCCAGGTGTCCACGAGGATTTCTTCATGTTGAAAATTATCTGCGCCACCTTAAGATGCATAAACTGTTCTTGTGCTTACAGTGTGGGAAAACATTTACACAGAAGAAAAATCTCAACCGGCACATTCGAGGGCACATGGGCATACGGCCCTTTCAGTGTACTGTGTGCTTGAAGACATTTACCGCTAAGAGCACGTTGCAGGACCACTTAAACATACATAGTGGGGATCGGCCATACAAATGCCAGTGTTGTGACATGGATTTCAAGCACAAATCTGCCCTGAAAAAGCATGTGACCTCTGTGCATGGTCGGAGCAGTGGTGAAAAAAATACCTATTCATGATCTCAAAAAACAAAATCTATTACAAGTACAATCACACGTTGCTATGGAAGCTATGTTAAGCAAGTCTTTCTATAGAAATGCAACATTTGTAATATTGTTTTCCTCCTAATCTTTGGGTCTTATTTTTGGTCTGCCTATACATTATTCTTTCTGAACTTATACTAAGAGTTCCAAAGTGTGGGAGACATGATAAAGCTGATGGAATGCTATCTCACATCTTGTGTTATATAAGTCCCAGTTGTATACCTAGAGAAATACTGTTCTTCTCTTAAATATTATTGGTTCTAATGACAATGGATCCAGCAGAATTTCCATATTCAGATTTTGAGTATCTATGTAGTTGATGGAAGTGTAAAATAACCTAGCCATGTAATAACTTTAATGAGTTAAGATAATGGAAAGATAAAATTTAAAACACCCTCTTATCCATTATTAGTCACTTTAAAATCAGATAGGACTAATAAATTTTTAACCTACTGCTTTTGGATTGCAAACTAAACACCAAGGTACCTGTTGTTATAAAATGTAAAAGAACATAATTCATATTCACTTGGGAATAGCAGAATTTCCTTATACCTTTCTTAAAACTATTTCCATGGTTTGTTAGTATACATATTTTATAAATTATTCATTAGGCCCAAATGTCTTGATTTTATTTAATGCAGTGGCATCTAGTAATTTTGTGGCTAGTAAAAACATACTATTGGCTTGAAGCTCTAAAAAATTACTTTTAGAAATCCCAACTTAACCAAAGGTATTTGTTACACCTTTTTTGTTGTTGTTGTTAAATATATTTTTATTGATTTCAGAGAAGAATGGAGAGGGAGAGAGAGAAAAACACCAATGATGAAAGAGTCATGGATCACCTGCCTCCTGCACATCCCATACTGGCATCAAGCCCGAAACCCAGGCATGTGCCCTGACTGGAAATCGAACCATGACCTCCTGGTTCATAGGTCAACACTCAACCACTGAACTATGTCGGCTGGCTACCCTTTTATCTTCTAGTTAACATAGTAAAGTTGACCTTTGTCAATTTTGTATCTAGGTAATAGGAATGGTATGCTAAAAC